CACCTGCATGCCACACACACACACTCCTAATGTGACACGCGTGTCGGGTCAGAGCCGTACGCACCTGCATGCCACACACACACACTCCTAATGTGACCCGTGTGTTGGGTCAGAGCCGTACGCACCTGCATGCCACACACACACACTCCTAATGTGACCCGTGTGTCGGGTCAGAGCCGTACGCACCTGCATGCCACACACACACACTCCTAATGTGACACGCGTGTTGGGTCAGAGCCGTACGCACCTGCATGCCACACACACACACACTCCTAATGTGACACGTGTGTCGGGTCAGAGCCGTACGCACCTGCATGCCACACACACACACTCCTAATGTGACACGCGTGTCGGGTCAGAGCCGTACGCACCTGCATGCCACACACACACACTCCTAATGTGACCCGTGTGTTGGGTCAGAGCCGTACGCACCTGCATGCCACACACACACACTCCTAATGTGACCCGTGTGTCGGGTCAGAGCCGTACGCACCTGCATGCCACACACACACACACTCCTAATGTGACACGTGTGTCGGGTCAGAGCCGTACGCACCTGCATGCCACACACACACTCCTAATGTGACCCGTGTGCCACACACACACACTCCTAATGTGACCCGTGTGTCGGGTCAGAGCCGTACGCACCTGCATGCCACACACACACACTCCTAATGTGACACGCGTGTCGGGTCAGAGCCGTACGCACCTGCATGCCACACACACACACTCCTAATGTGACACGTGTGTCGGGTCAGAGCCGTACGCACCTGCATGCCACACACACACACACTCCTAATGTGACACGTGTGTCGGGTCAGAGCCGTACGCACCTGCATGCCACACACACACACTCCTAATGTGACCCGTGTGTTGGGTCAGAGCCGTACGCACCTGCATGCCACACACACACACTCCTAATGTGACACGTGTGTCGGGTCAGAGCCGTACGCACCTGCATGCCACACACACACACTCCTAATGTGACACGTGTGTCGGGTAAGAGCCGTACGCACCTGCATGCCACACACACACACTCCTAATGTGACCCGTGTGTCGGGTCAGAGCCGTACGCACCTGCATGCCACACACACACACACTCCTAATGTGACACGTGTGTCGGGTCAGAGCCGTACGCACCTGCATGCCACACACACACACTCCTAATGTGACCCGTGTGTCGGGTCAGAGCCGTACGCACCTGCATGCCACACACACACACACTCCTAATGTGACCCGTGTGTTGGGTCAGAGCCGTACGCACCTGCATGCCACACACACACACTCCTAATGTGACCCGTGTGTTGGGTCAGAGCCGTACGCACCTGCATGCCACACACACACACTCCTAATGTGACACGTGTGTCGGGTAAGAGCCGTACGCACCTGCATGCCACACACACACACTCCTAATGTGACACGTGTGTCGGGTCAGAGCCGTACGCACCTGCATGCCACACACACACACTCCTAATGTGACCCGTGTGTCGGGTCAGAGCCGTACGCACCTGCATGCCACACACACACACACTCCTAATGTGACACGTGTGTCGGGTCAGAGCCGTACGCACCTGCATGCCACACACACACACACTCCTAATATGACCCGTGTGCCACACACACACACACACTCCTAATGTGACCCGTGTGTCACACACACACACACACTCCTAATGTGACCCGTGTGCCACACACACACACTCCTAATGTGACCCGTGTGTCGGGTCAGAGCCGTACGCACCTGCATGCCACACACACACACTCCTAATGTGACACGTGTGTCGGGTCAGAGCCGTACGCACCTGCATGCCACACACACACACTCCTAATGTGACCCGTGTGTTGGGTCAGAGCCGTACGCACCTGCATGCCACACACACACACTCCTAATGTGACACGTGTGTCGGGTCAGAGCCGTACGCACCTGCATGCCACACACACACACTCCTAATGTGACCCGTGTGTTGGGTCAGAGCCGTACGCACCTGCATGCCACACACACACACTCCTAATGTGACACGTGTGTCGGGTCAGAGCCGTACGCACCTGCATGCCACACACACGCACTCCTAATGTGACCCGTGTGTTGGGTCAGAGCCGTACGCACCTGCATGCCACACACACACACTCCTAATGTGACACGTGTGTCGGGTCAGAGCCGTACGCACCTGCATGCCACACACACACACTCCTAATGTGACACGTGTGTCGGGTCAGAGCCGTACGCACCTGCATGCCACACACACACACTCCTAATGTGACCCGTGTGTCGGGTCAGAGCCGTACGCACCTGCATGCCACACACACACACACTCCTAATGTGACACGTGTGTCGGGTCAGAGCCGTACGCACCTGCATGCCACACACACACACTCCTAATGTGACCCGTGTGTCGGGTCAGAGCCGTACGCACCTGCATGCCACACACACACACACTCCTAATGTGACCCGTGTGTTGGGTCAGAGCCGTACGCACCTGCATGCCACACACACACACTCCTAATGTGACCCGTGTGTTGGGTCAGAGCCGTACGCACCTGCATGCCACACACACACACTCCTAATGTGACACGTGTGTCGGGTAAGAGCCGTACGCACCTGCATGCCACACACACACACTCCTAATGTGACACGTGTGTCGGGTCAGAGCCGTACGCACCTGCATGCCACACACACACACTCCTAATGTGACCCGTGTGTCGGGTCAGAGCCGTACGCACCTGCATGCCACACACACACACACACTCCTAATGTGACACGTGTGTCGGGTCAGAGCCGTACGCACCTGCATGCCACACACACACACACTCCTAATATGACCCGTGTGCCACACACACACACACACACTCCTAATGTGACCCGTGTGTCACACACACACACACACTCCTAATGTGACCCGTGTGCCACACACACACACTCCTAATGTGACCCGTGTGTCGGGTCAGAGCCGTACGCACCTGCATGCCACACACACACACTCCTAATGTGACCCGTGTGTCGGGTCAGAGCCGTACGCACCTGCATGCCACACACACACACTCCTAATGTGACACGTGTGTCGGGTCAGAGCCGTACGCACCTGCATGCCACACACACACACACTCCTAATGTGACACGTGTGTCGGGTCAGAGCCGTACGCACCTGCATGCCACACACACACACTCCTAATGTGACCCGTGTGTCGGGTCAGAGCCGTACGCACCTGCATGCCACACACACACACACTCCTAATGTGACCCGTGTGTTGGGTCAGAGCCGTACGCACCTGCATGCCACACACACACACTCCTAATGTGACCCGTGTGTTGGGTCAGAGCCGTACGCACCTGCATGCCACACACACACACTCCTAATCAGGGCTGCAACAAACGATTATTTTGATAATCGATTAATCTAACGATTATTAGAACGATTAATCGACTAATCGTCGATTATTCCGCAGGCTAATCAGTAAGTTTGGAACGATTATTCAGCTTTTCCAATTAGTTAAAACATTGAGTTATACATATTCTAACTATAATATAAAAAAATAAAATCACTTCAGCTTTTGAAATAGTTGTTTTAATGAACTTTGAGCCAAATAAACAGGTCATTCTCTTTAAGTTTTCAGATTTCGGTCCAACTCAAATCACACACAAATGCTCTCTAAGCATTGTTTAATAGGCCCACTGCTTTTCTTAGAACTGAAACAGAAAAAGGGACATTTACTTCAGGACACAAAGAATGGTAAAATATTAATCTGCAAACAATTATTATAAGAATAAAATTACAATCTTTTTTTACATGACAATTGAGCTGACAGAGATGTTCTCATTCACCTTTTAATTTATAGTATGATAAAGTAACTGCCATGATATTCTTCCTATATCATAGGAAGGATATAACATCTCGTTTTGTAAGTCTTCATGATTATTGAACAAAATACAGGCAAGTGATAAGACTATAATAATACCTAATATACTAATAGTGTTACAATAATAAAAACAGCCCTGACTCCTAAGCTCGATCAAGCTTTATTCTATGCAAAATAAGTCATCACATTACTGTAATTATATTACTATTGATAATATTATTACTATTATTAGTAGTATTGCTTTCTCTAATAAAGAGAGATTTACCGCTGGTTAGTAAGCTCCAGCTGGAGAACACTCACTTCTCACCGGCTCCTCTTTTGCCGGGATGTTTCCTCTTGCACACGTGCATGTTGTGCTCCCGTGAAAAGCAAGTTCCGCCTTGCATGTATTGAACACGACAGCATTCTTGATTTGAAGTTTTGTGAAACTTTCCCAAACCTAAACCTTGCTAGTTCGGATTCGTTTGCACTGTCATAATTCGCGCTGTGTTTTCTTCTACCGCAATAGCATTTGTAAGGGCTGCACTACACTCTAGCGCTACAGCGCCGTAGCGGTCAAATCGCGGGATTGCAGGCCCTTACATTAGGTCACGTGAGATCAAACGACTACTCGACAACAAAGATATTTGTCGACAAATTTTTATTGTCGACGTTGTCGACAACGTCGACTAATCGTTGCAGCCCTACTCCTAATGTGACACGTGTGTCGGGTAAGAGCCGTACGCACCTGCATGCCACACACACACACTCCTAATGTGACACGTGTGTCGGGTCAGAGCCGTACGCACCTGCATGCCACACACACACACTCCTAATGTGACCCGTGTGTCGGGTCAGAGCCGTACGCACCTGCATGCCACACACACACACACACACTCCTAATGTGACACGTGTGTCGGGTCAGAGCCGTACGCACCTGCATGCCACACACACGCACTCCTAATGTGACCCGTGTGCCACACACACACACACACTCCTAATGTGACCCGTGTGTCACACACACACACACACTCCTAATGTGACCCGTGTGCCACACACACACACTCCTAATGTGACCCGTGTGTCGGGTCAGAGCCGTACGCACCTGCATGCCACACACACACACTCCTAATGTGACCCGTGTCTCGGGTCAGAGCCGTACGCACCTGCATGCCACACACACGCACTCCTAGCGTGGCAGACGTGCTCTGCTCGCACTTCTTCATCTGGCGGGCGGCCTTCTCCTCGGAGGCGTCGTCCCCGTGCTGCCGAGTGCCCATTTTCAGGTCCAGGATGCAGGGGAAGCTGAAGTGATGGACCACGTTCTCCAGCAGCAGGAACTCTGGAGGAGGCTCAGGTCAAGGAGCGTAACGGGGGAAACACACACACGCATCACACCGTCTGAATACTCCATTCTGATTGGCTGGAATGTGTGTTAAAACGGTTTAAGGCACAGCTAGTTTCAGTTTAATCACTATTGACTGAATGCACATGCTCACAAACATTCAGGAGCAGAGAACTTTGATGTCAAGGCTGCCTCGTGACTTTCATTAATAAAACAGCATTGGTACTGAAAAGCTACATCATATTTCTTCACTGTTAGTAGATAGACGCTAGTCGTGGATTACTAACTATTATAATTAGTCTGTGAAACCTTTTTGTGAATTAAACTACAGAAGGAAAAGTCTGGATTGTGGCAGATCTAATAACCTCGTAGGCCAGACTTTCAGTCGTATCACTGGTCAAAGCCATCTAGAAGAACAGTGTGTTTTTCGATCCTTCCTTTAACAATATTCTGCCTCTCTCAGAGACTAGTTCTCTCCTCTTAGCACCCGATCTGAATCACTGGTGATTAATGATGATTTCTGGAGCATTTCAAATGAGTGTCAGAAAGAGATGAGCATCTGCTTCCTACAGCTCAGCTTGAGGAAATGAAGAGGGCCGTGGCAGAAAGCTATTTTCCTCCTTTTCTTTGATATGCGCACAGCAGAAGATTAACCTTTTTGGGATAATGTTTGCCTTTGTCATGTCATGGGGGGAGATAATGATAGCACAGTCATAGACAATGCACCTCAAGGAAGCATGACAACAGAACAGCGACTGCTAATCGCAAAATGATTTTTAGTGTTGATGCATGGAGTTTCATGTTCATTGAATTGAATGCAACAGTTTACATAGAAATAATTTTGACATTAATTCGCGATTAATATTTGTGAATAAAGCCAGAGACAGACTTGTTCCTGTCTCTTGGTGTGGCGGTACAGTAGTCAACAGGGGAGTCAATAGTTTCCTTCATGGGCATCAATAGGGGAGATCAGACACAAAATAAAGTCTAAAATGTTTCCAAGCGGCTCCAATGTTTCCAATGTTTAAACTGCATTTGATACTATTGACCACAACATTCTTTTAAATAGACTCGAAAATGATGTTGTCATTAGTGGAATTGCATTAGCGTGGTTTGAATCATACTTATCTGACCATTATCAGTTTGTAGCAGTAAATGAAGAGATGTCTTATCGATCACAAGTTCAGTATGGCGTACCACAAGGCTCAGTACTAGGACCGCTGCTGTTCACTCTGTACATGCTACCATTAGGAGATATCATTAGGAAACATGGCATTAGTTTTCACTGTTATGCTGATGATACTCAGCTGTATATTTCTTCACGCCCAGACGAAACTTACCAATTCACAAAATTAACGGAATGCATAGCTGATATCAAAAATAGGATGACTAGTAATTTCCTACTACTAAATTCTGAAAAAAAAAACCCAGAGTTTCTAATTATTGGACCAAAAACTTCCTCACGTAATAACCCAGAATACTGTCTAACACTTGATGGCTGCTCTGTTAAGTCTTCGTCGTCGGTTAGGAACCTGGGTGTGCTCTTTGATACCAATCTTTCATTTGAAAGTCACGTGTCTAGTCTCTGTAAAACCGCATTCTTCCATCTTGGAAAATATATCTAAATTACGCCATATGCTCTCAATGACAAATGCAGAACAGTTAGTTCATGCGTTCATGACCTCAAGACTAGATTATTGTAATGCTCTACTGGGTGGTTGCCCTGCACGCTTAATAAACAAACTACAGCTGGTCCAAAACGCAGCAGCTCGAGTTATTACCAGAACCAGGAAGTATGACCATATTAGCCCGGTTCTGTCAACACTGCATTGGCTGCCTATTAAACATTGTATACATTTTAAAATATTGCTGATTACTTTCAAAGCACTAAATGGTTTAGCTCCCCAGTACTTGAGCGAGCTCTTAAAGGGGTCATATAATGCCATTTTTGTACAAGCTAATATGATTCTTTAGGGTCTAAATTAAAAGTTTGTAATATACTTTAATTAAAAATTCTCATTAGTATTGTAAGAAAACACTTATTTTACCTGGTCAAAAACAGCTCTGTTTTCAGCGCGCCGTTTCAGTGCATATGAATTTAAATGATCATGAGCTTTGCTGACTCCGCCCCTCTGTTCTATGCGTACACCAGAGCCGGCTCTGGCGTACACCATTTGTAACTCAATAACACAATAACCATAACGCGTTGTTCAGTATAAACGTGGGATTATGAATTATATTGAGAACGTCATACATAGAAAACATGCCGTAATGTACCCTGAGTGTAAACCTTAGACGCATTCATTGTGAAGCGTGCAGCTAGCGATTTGCAAAGATTAATATATTAATATAAAGTTTAATAAAACGTTACACTCACTTCCGTTCTTCTGGAGGTTCAGCAGGAACACGAATATCTGGTAGCAGCTACCGATCCATTTTTCATGAGCAGCTTCTTAGCAAATCCAGCTTTATACTGATCCTCGTCTATAAAGCAGTCTGGTGAGAAATGATTCGCGCAAACATGAACGCATTGACGTTGCTCGTGGGGAATATTCCCTTCGAAAACAAACTCAGCCACTGCGTCTTCAGCGGTTCGGATTTAGGAACATTAAAATGACTGCTGTGTTCGTTATTACACCCAAGAACAGAACACCACAATCGCTTAGACGCCATTCTGCTCATAGACAGAGCTCCAGCATATCAACAATGACCGCGCCGGTCCGCGCCGCGCAGACTATGATTGACAGCTCTCTCATGAGCGAGGGCGGGTCTGTGTTGAGACGCTCCAGTCAATCAACAATCGTGGGAGGGGCTTCCGAGCGTGTGACGTCACACGGTCGAACGGCTCGATTTGAGGCAGGGGAAAACATATAAGGAGATTAAAACAAAACCACTGGATGGATTTTTATCATTATATGATGGTTGTGTACAGACACTGCCAACACACATTTCAGTACAATCAACTTGTAAAAGTGCATGCACCATTATATGACCCCTTTAACGCTTTATAGTCCTTCACGTCTATTGCGATCTCAAAATGCTGGCCAGTTGATAATCAAAATCGACTGCAGGCGGTAGATCCTTTTCCTATTTAGCACCAAAACTCTGGAACAATCTTCCTAACATTGTCCGGGAAGCAGACATACTCTATCAGTTCAAAGCTAGACTAAAAACACATCTCTTTGGCCTAGCATACACATAATACACTATAGACTTCTATAATTCAATGTTAGGCTGCATAGATTAGGTCAGCCGGAACCGGGAACACTTCCCTTAAATCCTGATGTACTCGTTACATCATAAGAAGAATGGCATCTACGCTAATATTAGTCTCTCTGTTTATCCCGAGGTTTACCGCAGTCCGCCGGATCCAGGCCGTATCCAGATCTGATGAAGGACCTGCGTCTGGACACACACACCCACACACACTCCAGATCTGATGAAGGACCTGCGTCTGGACGCGACGACAACGCAGTCCTGAAGTGTCACTAGTCTCTCCCTGTGAAGGCCTCCTTCCCTTTACCTCTGCACAGATAATCATTGCCAAAATAATTCCGTCTCACATGGTTACACGGAAGCGATAAATAATTCTGTATTATAAATGTTTAAGGCCAGACAAGTAATTTGTTGAGGTCAGTTTGTAAAGAAAGACTACACGCCTGCGCACATATATAGTCAAACGCGCATACCTATAGACTAAACACGTCATACGCATGTGCACGCCGTCAGCGTTTTCACAGGTTTGCGTTTTCAAAGCTTTCGCAGAGATTAAAAAAAAAAAAAATATATATATATATATATATATATAATTCTTTTTTTCCTTCAAGGCTTGCACCTTGGAACCTATTTCATGGTTTGTGTTCTCGAGCCCTTGTGTTCTGTTAAGGGTTTTCTGTTAGAGCGGTGTCGTGTTAGCGGCCCCTAAGTTAATAACTAATGATCTTTGCAACAGAAGTGAATCAATCAAAACTAACTTTAGCTGGACAATAACTTTATTCTAGAGCTGCTGTGAAGCCAAAACAATCTCTGTTACTGTCATTTCCTATTATCACTGTAAAGCTGCTTTGAAACAGTCCATATTGTTAAAAGCTCCGAATAAATGAAGGTGACTTGACTTGAGCAGATACATTTTTACCTTATTTATAAAGTGCTAATTTAAAATATAATGAAATGAATGAAGGAATGAATGAAGGCAAACAAGCTGTAGAGAATTAGAACATGATTTACACTGATAGATAAATAGGTTCATGATTCATAGAGGTCCTACTTTAAAGTAAAGTTCAGAACACCTCACTGTAAAGAGCAGTTTTACATTAACTGAAAGAGAGGCCTTTCATTATTCCTAACTTCATATTTCCTACGAATGGACCGCTTGTGAAGAAAGTACAACAGTGAACAATCCTGCTTGTTAGTGTAAACTGTGTTTAGTGTGAGGATACTGTAGAGCCTCCTGTCCTTGGACTCGGAGCGCATGCGGCTGAGCTGCTGTCGGTGGCAGCGCAGACTCCAGGGGTTGTGGCTGATCTTCTCTGAGCTCAGGCCACTGTTGCTGTCCAGCATCTGGAACGGCACATCCGAATGCATATGGAGATCCAGAAGAGGACTCTTCAACTCCTGCAGACTGCACACACACACTGTTACCCACAATGCAATGCAAGCAGGACACTTGAGAATGTTTTGTGACTGCAAACTCTTAGAATGAATATATTTTACATGGGAATGTTTGCTTGGCAAGTTTGTTGATTAACACAGATCTACTTGATAGGAAGAACAGTGTTATTACACAGAGATCTCGTTTCCAATTTCAACTGTTCAAAATAAAAAGTGAAATTTAAATTGTCACAACTAATCACATTGGAAACATGATGCCGGTGCCATGATATAGGTTCGTACTGGTATGAAAATGTCCTCATTATAACATCCCTAATTCATAATGAATGTTAAAATGTTTAAATTAAATGATAAAATGTTTAAATATTTACTGCAATTTCCACTTTTTTTTAAATATATGTTTTTTTTCATGACTAAAATAAACTTTTAATCAGAGAAAAATTGACAAAATAAATATATGTCATGAAGAAATATTGGCTAAATTTAAAGGATATCAATGACTATACAATAATAATAGTTTTATTTACAGAACAGTAAAATTACAATACTATATTTATGAGTGTCTTCATTTCTTTCTATTTTGTGTGGAAACCCACAGAGAGACCTTAAAGCTACTCATTTCACAACAGACTCATAAACCATTCTCATTAAAGGTGGCTTTGTGTTTTCAGCGTGTTTACTGTGAACCGAGATGCTTCAAGATGCATGTTAAGAACACTCTGAAACATGTAAAACATCAGACTATATATGTATATTATTAAATCTGAGCCTTTGTGATTTGATCATCACATTAACGCATCCATGCATGGTTAGAAGTTCTCAGCCAGCCGGTATCAGGTGTGGCTCCAGGCGAGTGTTACCTGGATGTTCCACACACACAGAGAGCGTCTGTTGGATGATCCACATGCATCCATACATGAATCAAATATATTTAAATGTGCTTGAAAACCCAGCAATTTCCCCCATGGATTCCTGAAATGTCATACGTCTCAGGTTGTAAACTCCAGAAAGCTGTATTATAGGTAGATTATATCTCATCCCTGAAGCTGTGTGCAGTGTGCAGTGTTGTATGATATGTCGGCGGCTCACCTGTCGGTGCCGTCGCTGTCGTGTGCGGGCCGGTCCTCCTTAATCTCGCTGCTGGAGCGGTGCAGGCTACGGCGAGAGTGTTTCCGGCGAGGCTGATCTCTCTCCGACAGCTCCTCATGATCCAGACCCTCGCTCTCTTCATACGGGTACGCCACCAGATTAATGTAGCCGTCGGAGTCGCCCTCGAAACACACCAGCACCACGCCTGCACAACACAACACTCACAGGTCAACTACTGACAGCAGCACAGTAAAGAGCAAGCACACATATGACTCCAATTATTATATTATAAATGATTGTTTCAGAGGTGATTCTCCATTAATAAACACTTGCTAATCTGTTAAGGGGAAATGCACAACAAGCAAAAGAGGACACATTATTATTATTCAAGTCCAAAGCCACAGTCATGCGATTTTATGACAAACCAACACACAATTACTGCTGATATAATTCAGCAGGTACCAAACATGTAATTGTTCATGTACACACTTCAGTCAAATATAGGACAGTTATTAAATATAGTTACATTCTGTACAAATTCAAGTACAAGCTTCAAATTTAGGCCCGAAAAATTCATGTAGCGACAGCCGAATTTACACAAGCATGGCACAGCGTACAGAACTCAAGTGCTGTAGACGCAGTGATGTCACTCTCACGTGGACACGGACAGCTCTTCAGGTTCAGCCAATCAGAAACCACGGCACGCACTGACACATTCACAGATTTGCCCCTTTGTTGATGATAGTTTATTAAGGATAAGAAGGATATAGAGATTTTAGAAAAAAAGCTTTTGCTGAGTAACTAAAGAGAAAGCCCAGACGTATAAGCATGACTGAATATTGAATGAGTTTACAGAAGTGCCACACAAAGAACCGCTAACGTACTGAAGAAGCTCAAAGGAGTGTGAGTTAATGTGGTATGATGAATATTCCCAGCATGCCTCAGTCGTGAAGCTCATCTTTAGCTCAGTGATGGCCCTCAGTGATGTCAGCGATTCAGGAGGAACTGTTTAACAGGCTTTACAGGTGTTCCTGCTCTCCTTCAGGTGTGTGTCTGTCAGTGTGTGCTGATATAAGAGCCACCGAGATCAGACTCCAGCCTTTCATATTTTGCATAATTAGGTCATAATCTGGCTGCTTCCCAAGATGTTTTGTTTAGGCAGAAGCAATTGATCTGTGACAGTGATCCAGTGCAGTCAGACAAGACAGGAAGTCCCCGTCAGACACTGGCCACTGACAGACATGACGTGAGGCTGCTACTGTGCCTTACCTGGGATGTGACATCTGCGATGAGATAAAAACACTGCGTACTTTAAAACAACACAAACACAGTAAGCATCTTTTCATCCCATTGTCTGACCAACACACGACACAGACTAGGGCTGCGGAGCTCAGTGAACTAGTGGAAGAGAAGTTTTCTTTCTCATGCTACATACTGCAAAGTTTCTGCATTGAAACAATATTTGAATGCGGGACTGAATCGGGAAATGTGATGATTGACCGTAATAACCATAGCAATGGACGAGACAAAAAATCTTATACTGTTTGTCAGTATGCAAACATCTTTACATCATGTCTTGGAGTGTAAATGCAAACTAATAAACCCGCCTCTTGTTTTACGGAAAGTCAATTCAAGTCACCTTTATTTCTAAAAAGCTTTATGCGGTACATATTGTTTCAAAGCAGCTTTACAGGGATAAACTGTAAAATATTGATTCAATGATGCAAACAGAGTTCAACTGCTGTAAATCAGCTTTAAAAAGACAGTAGTAAACGATCATTATTATAGTCATTATAATGTGTTTCTTTGCTCTTCATCTGTTCTTCAAACTACTTGCTTGTAGGAAGATTGCACTTTTTCAATCATTTTCATATTTTTATTTTGGTACCTAAAAGTACATATGATTTTTTACATATTTTGTGTTCATTTAGTTGAAAGCATCAATGGTCACTAAGTCTTGATTTTAGTTCTTTAACTAGTAATGATTTTGTAATAAACAAAAATGTATGTACATTATAGCAACAGCTGTTTAATCCAGATCAGGGCACCTGTTTTAAAAAAAGAAAGAAAGAGCAAAGAAAAATATATATTGAAAGTTTAGAAAAATCTTCTTTTTTTTTGCTATATCGGCCAGTGCTGGCGCTGACTGGCTCTTTTCTCTGGTTGCAGGTGTTTGTACATGAAATTACTTTTGTGTTTTCTGTGATGGAAGGCAGGAGGTTTGGCCTGAGATGCTGGGACAGACACCAGCACTTCCCTGACCCTACATCCCATAAAGAGAGCAGAAGATGGAGGGATGTTTGAGTTGTGCAAGTGAAGAAGAGAGGAAGATCAGCAGCTCTATCTGAAACCACACTGTGGCTATGTTAGCTAGTTTTCAGTAAATTAATGCCAGGATAGAATAACACAAAAATATAGTAATATAAATATACTTCAGTTTTCTCAATCCATTTGACACATTTCTCCATCTCAGATCACTGCTTTCAAAACCATTAACACAGTCTTCTGCAATGTCACTTTGTAATTGTCCTAAACAGATTGCAAGTTTTCATTCATTTCATACAAATTACAAATCATATGCATAATTTTCTCAAAGCTTTGTGTACAGAGTTCTTGAATGTGTTCACACAGCCAACCAAAAAATGTATATATCAGGCTAAAACGTTTGCAGCTCTTTTTATTGATTTGACAAAAATCACAAACATTTATGTACCATTTTTCCAAACACAACAAACAAACTGTCATTTGTCATATGTTTTTTTCAATTGCTAATAAGCATCGGTCAATACTGAAGCTGCGTTATCAAAACTCTTCACACACTCAGTGAAACAGAAGTCTATGTGGACCAAACAGTGAATCATTTTTCATTGCTTTCACACAAAATGCATTCAATGACCACAGTTTCCAAAATCCATGAACACTTTTGTCATTCATACTTTCACCATCTTCAAAACACTACATATTTTCAGCACATTATTCAAATGCTAACACACTGCTTTCAAAACTGATAAAAGCACATTCAAATCAGAATGATGGCAAACTATATTCAATTATATTGAAATATAAAGTCTTAAATGAAATAATTATTACAAACAAAACTAATTGCAATTTCACCGGACAGCCGACCCAGATGTCGTATTTATAGTCGTTTTCCAGTCATCTTTTGGTAAATCAGGATTTTCAGAATGTTATTATTTGGAAACATGGATCAAGGAAGACACAATGATGGGAAAAGAAGAGTGTCAGAGAGATGGAGAACTAGAACCTCACAGTACAGAACATCCATATATCCATCTATTCCACACATCCATCCATCTATTCCACACATCCATCCATCTATTCCACACATCCATCCATCTATTCCACACATCCATACATCTATTCCACACATCCATACATCTATTCCACACATCCATCTATTCCACACATCCATACATCTATTCCACACATCCATCTATTCCACACATCCATCCATCTATTCCACACATCCATCTATTCCACACATCCATACATCTATTCCACACATCCATCCATCTATTCCACACATCCATCCATCTATTCCACACATCCATACATCTATTCCACACATCCATCCATCTATTCCATCCATCCATCTATTCCACACATCCATCCATCTATTCCACACATCCATCCATCTATTCCACACATCCATCCATCTATTCCACACATCCATACATCTATTCCACACATCCATCCATCTATTCCATCCATCCATCTATTCCACACATCCATACATCTATTCCACACATCCATCCATCTATTCCACACATCCATACATCTATTCCACACATCCATCCATCTATTCCACACATCCATACATCTATTCCACACATCCATCCATCTATTCCACACATCCATCCATCTATTCCACACATCCATCCATCTATTCCACACATCCATCCATCTATTCCACACATCCATCCATCTATTCCACACATCCATCTATTCCACACATCCATACATCTATTCCACACATCCATCCATCTATTCCACACATCCATCTATTCCACACATCCATCCATCTATTCCACACATCCATCCATCTATTCCACACATCCATCCATCTATTCCACACATCCATCCATCTATTCCACACATCCATCTATTCCACACATCCATACATCTATTCCACACATCCATCCATCTATTCCACACATCCATCTATTCCACACATCCATCTATTCCACACATCCATCTATTCCACACATCCATCCATCTATTCCACACATCCATCTATTCCACACATCCATCCATCTATTCCACACATCCATCTATTCCACACATCCATCTATTCCACACATCCATCTATTCCACACATCCATCCATCTATTCCACACATCCATCTATTCCACACATCCATACATCTATTCCACACATCCATCCATCTATTCCACACATCCATCCATCTATTCCACACATCCATACATCTATTCCACACATCCATCCATCTATTCCACACATCCATACATCTATTCCACACATCCATCCATCTATTCCACACATCCATCCATCTATTCCACACATCCATCCATCTATTCCACATCCATCCATCTATTCCACACATCCATCCATCTATTCCACACATCCATCTATTCCACACATCCATCTATTCCACACATCCATCCATCTATTCCACACATCCATACATCTATTCCACACATCCATCCATCTATTCCACACATCCATCCATCTATTCCACACATCCATCCATCTATTCCACATCCATCCATCTATTCCACACATCCATACATCTATTCCACACATCCATCCATCTATTCCACACATCCATCCATCTATTCCACACATCCATCCATCTATTCCACACATCCATCCATCTATTCCACACATCCATCCATCTATTCCATCCATCCATCTATTCCACACATCCATCCATCTATTCCACACATCCATCCATCTATTCCACACATCCATCCATCTATTCCACACATCCATCCATCTATTCCACACATCCATCCATCTATTCCACACATCCATCTATTCCACACATCCATACATCTATTCCACACATCCATCCATCTATTCCACACATCCATCCATCTATTCCACACATCCATCTATTCCACACATCCATACATCTATTCCACACATCCATCCATCTATTCCACACATCCATCTATTCCACACATCCATCTATTCCACACATCCATCTATTCCACACATCCA